AATACGAGCGAATACAATTTTTTTTTTTTGAAATTTTATCGTCTCGAGGTCACCCTATAAGCAGCATCCCTACCCTGTTCTAACCTTGGCTCGAGGTGTGTGTCGAGAGGCCAGGGATTCCCCATAGAGCCAGAGTTTAAAAAAAAATGTTTCTTGTGAAGGTCCTTTTGCACTGACCACGTCCTAGGAATGGATTTTTTTTTCTCTCTCTATCTTTTTATTTCTCCGGTTTTGGGGTCTGTCCTTGGGGTCTGTCGGGAGTTTATTGGCGTGTCCTTTTGTCTCGTTTCTCTTTGGCTCTCGCTGTCTCTCTCATTCGTTTTCTCTGACTAAGTTCTACTTTATTATGCTTTCCCCTTCGCCTCTCTCTTCCCTTCCTGTCCATTCCTTCTTTCTTATCCTTCCCCCATTTCGCCATCTTTCTCATCCTTCCTTGTCTCCCTCTCCCCCTTCCTATCCATCTCCTTTCTTCATTCCTTCCTTTGTCTCCTCTCTCAAATCCTTTTCCCTTTTTGTCCGTCTCTACCATCCACCACCTCTCTTTCATCACCTCCCTCTCCCGTCTCTCTTTCTCACGCCCACCTGCTTCTCTCGAGACCACCAGAGACAGGGCGTGGGCGAGGTCCTTCCCTGCCCGGTCCCGCCCTGGTGACCAGTCCTTCCATAAACAGGTAAGTCCACCATCTCACCTTCTCATCATCGTCGCACCACCGCAGTCCATTCTTTGTCTGTTCTTAACCCTTCCCTGTGTCTCTTTTATGTTTTTATTTTGTATTTTGTTTATCCTATTTCGCCATTTATCGATCTTTCTGTCAATTCCCAGTCTTATATTATCAGTCTTTCAAGTCCATCTTTGTCTCTTTTTAACCTTCCCTGTGTCTTTATTTAATTTATTTATCGATAAGTCAGTCTTATATTATCAGTCTTTTAAGTTTTTAATCTTTTCCGTCTTTAATTTTCTTTAGCTTGAGGTTATTTCGCCATTTATCGGCATTTCTCTTAATTCTCCTTCTATTATATCGGTCTCTTAAATATCCATCTTTCCCCTTCTTCACCTCGAGCCTATATTACCCGTTCTCCGACTCTCTCTTCCTATCTCAGTTACTCTCTCTCTCTCTCTTTCTTACTCCTTTCTCTCAAGCCTAACCCTTCTAATACCCACTCCCTACCCCCCCCCTCAACGCCATGCCCCCTCCCCCGGCTGTGTCCAGTTCCAAGCCATTCTCCTAAGCCTTTCGCTTTCCGAAGACACAGCAGGAAGTGGCGGTAGCAAGGAGGAGGGGGAAGGGAGGAGGAGGAGGAGGAGGAATGGAGGAAAGTGGATAAGGAGGAGGAGGAGGAGGAGGTGGTAGATGGAGGAGGAAGGTGCTGGAGGGTGTGGATGAACGAGGAAGGTGGATAAGGAGGAGGAAGGAAAAGAATAAAAAGAACTAGGAAAAGAAGGAAAAGCATAAAAGTGGAAGAGGGGTAAGAAACAGGAGGTGGAGGAAGAAGAGAAAAAGGAGAAGAAGAATAAGAAGAATCAAGAAAACATACAAAGGCGAAGGAAGAAGACAAGGTACGAAAGGAAAACAGCAAAGAGGATGCAACAAGAAGGGTTACGAGTGAGGGAGAAGTGGGCAGCCAGTGGGGAAGGGAGGGGAAGGGCGAAAGGGAAGGGGGGGGGGGCGGCAGCGAAGGGAGAGAAGGGGGCGCCTCTGGTGATTCTTCTTATCCCACTTTCACTTTTACTTTCAGCGTCTGGGGCAGCGACGAGAGAGAGAGAGAGAGCGAGAGAGCGTGTGAAGGGGGCAGGTGGGAGGGGTAGGGGGGATAGGAGGACGGGAGGGGGATGGGGGAGGAGGCAGAAGTCTTTTATTACCGAACATCCGACGGGGGGGGGGAGGGTCAGGGGGGAGGGGAGAGAGAGAGAGAGAAGGGGGCAACACACGGCAGCTTTCTAATGTCCACAGCGACCTTGGGTACGACTGCTCACAATGATAGGTATAAAAAAGAAAGGAATTTAGGATACATTACAGATGGAATGAGAGAGAGAAGCGGCGGCGTAGGTCTTTCGAGGAGATGGATTTGACAATGAGCCCCTCCCTCCCCTCCGAATAAAGGAATAAAAAGAAAGAAGAAAAAAAATGGTTGCGAAATAGCACAGATGCAGAATCCGAGAGAATGGACAATGAGAAAGAGAAAGAGAAAGGTGTTATATGTATAAATATTTATATATATATATATATATATATATATATATATATATAGAGAGAGAGAGAGAGAGAGAGAGTAGAGAGAGAGAGAGAGAGAGAGAGAGAGAGAGAGAGAGAGAGAGAGAGAGAGAGAGAGAGAGAGAGAGAGAGAGAGGAGAGAGAGAGAGAGAGAGAGAGAGAGAGAGAGAGAGAGAGAGAGAGAGAGAGAGAGAGAGAGAGAGAAGAGAGAGAGAGAGAGAGAGAGAGAGAGAGAGAGAGAGAGATGAGAGAGAGAGAGAGAGAGAGAAGAAGAGAGAAGCGAGGAGAACGAGAGAGAGAGAGAGAGAGAGAGAGAGAGATCCACAAATTCAAAAGAGAAATGGATAGACAGAGAGATAGAAAAGGCAGGCGACAGGAAGGATTCTCACTAGCTGGTTAAGGCCAACGAGCTTCTTATCCCGTTCCTCGCCGAGAAAACTAGGTTAATCCTCGAAACAGCTCGTTTAAATCACAAAAAAGACCGTTAACTACCCTATCCGTTAACGCATCCAAAAAACACAACATGCCCGTTACAGACTAGCTATGTATAAAAAAACAGAGAGATGTTATCGCCAACAGCATTTATAACAAACCCCAAAACAAAAAGTGCCCCCCAAAGGTGAACGGCGAATGCCCAAAACCCTTTCACTTTCCACTCCTCACTCGCTCCAGCCAACCTCTCCCCCCTCCCCCTCCCCCTCCCCCAACAGCGTCCGCCATCTTGTCCCAAAGACCTGCTTTTTGTGATGGGTTTCAGGTCGGACGCTGGCTTGCTCCGGTCGGCGTCCAGGTCTTGGAGATATGGACGGTGCATCGGCTTATCTCGGGTATGTTGTTGTTGCTAACGATGCCTCAGTAAATATTTCAGGAATCATGCAACGGGAGAGAATACTTGATCTTTTGCGTTCTTTCTGTTTTATCATCATTATTATTATTTTCAATTGTTATCATAATCATTCTGGCTTGGCATCGAGCGGGATTCAACGGAATTCAAGCCAGCTCAAGCGAAGTCAAGTCTCCTCAGAGATCACACTAAATCGCGCGTGATAGGTTAGGCGCTTATGTTAAGAAACAGTCTGTCTTTCAACTTTGGACTTATAACAACACCTCTTAGTTGCAAGGGAAGGGGGGGGAGGGGAGAAGGGGTAGGGGAGGAGAAAGGTGAGAAGGGGAGAAGCAGGGAGGAGAAAGGGGGGGGGAGAGGGAGAATGAGAAAGGGGTGAGAAGAAAAGGGGAGAGGAGATGAGAAAGGGTGAGAGGGAAGGGGAGAAGGAAAAAGGAGGAGAGGGGGAATGAGAAAGGGGGGAGGCAGGGGAGAAGAGGAAAGGGGGTAGAGGAGGGAATGAGAAAGGAGGTAGACAGAGAAGGAAAAAGGAGGAGAGGGGGAATGAGAAAGGGGGGAGGGGGAAGGGGAAGGGGGGGAAGGGGGGGGGGAAAGGGGGGGGGGGAGGAGGTTCTTGGAATGCCATGCGGCTGCTCTAGTTTGACGTCATTTGAATTACATCAACACGTGTCCACATTAGATAACCTGCAACACACAACCTTTGACATTTCTTTTCCTGTCTCCCTTTTCCTTTTCTTTGGTGAAAAAAAGGGAGAAAGAAAACGAGAGATAAATGATGGTGCACTTATTGTTTCGAATACTCATTGCTGTACTGAAAAGCCTGCGGGGGGGGGGAGGGTAGGGTGAATGGGGCGACACGAAACACTTGAATATATAAGAGAAGACATTATAAGCCTGACAGTTGCAAAATCAAACCAGTTTTCGCTAGACTTGTTCCGAGTTCGCTGATCGTATAAAAAAAGAAGGAAAAAAGTAAAATATTAAACCACTACCTGACTTTAGAAAAAAAAAAATCAAATGACTACGCCCTATTAATATAGAAAGAAAGTAAAAAAAAATATGCATATGTATCCTAGGTGCTTACCTCCCCGCTACCTAGTAATCATGAACAATTACCTGCACAATACCCAGTAACCGAGAAACATACACGTGTTACTGATCACCTGATGGCAACACCTTTCTCTCTCGTCTGACTCCTCCGTTAACTGGCTCTGGCTTCGACTTGGTACTTGGGAAGAATAAAAAAAGAAAAAAATATCTCCCGCACCTTATATTTAAATATCTCAAGAACAACGTGTACGAGAAAGCAAAAAACAAACATAAAATATAACAGGTAATGAATGTCGTCAGCGGATGTTTTTTTTTTTAATCTATAATTCTCCAGCTTTCAGATTCTTAAAGGTAAAGAACTGATTAAACATTAAATTACGGACAAAGAATCATTACTTCCTTCAGAATTTTATAAGTAAAGAAGTAAAGCAGACATCAATCAAGGAGTACTTTGCATTCTTTCCTCTCTCTTTCAAATTAAAATAGATAAAATTCTCCGTTGACTTAGCGAGTGGCCTAGCCGAGAAAAAGCCATTCGAACGAGGACCGGTGCCCCGTTACCTAACAGTCTGGGCGAGTGAGTCTGCTTGGAGCGCCGGGCTGATGCTGCGAGCTGCCCAGAGAACAGGCCTTTCTAAAAGCCTTTGGTACATATGCATACGTGCAAAATGACTTTCCATGGATGGAGACAAACGGATAAAACGTGTGTACATAATCAGATACACATGCACGTACATACAAATGCATAAACAGACGCAAGTGGATACTCTTTCATGCAGACGCACACACGAACATTGACATACACTCTCTCACACACAGTTATACATGCCACGCACACGCACGCACAGGCCGTGGGTAAAAGTGATCCGATGACAGATCCCAAAATGGCTTGTGACAATTGCCTTTTATGTGAGTCTGAGTCCGTTATCGCCATAGTAATTCTAGGCTTCTTATCATGGTTATATAAAGGGCCATACAGAATACTTTATTCACGTAAAATCTAAGAAACAAGACCAATTGAATAAATTAAACCTAAGCAATTATGAACACGACCGGAAAAAAATTAATTAATAACCATAAAATCTAAGAAACAAGACCAATTGAATAAATTAAACCTAAGCAATTATGAACACGACCGGGAAAAAATTAATAACCAGAAACCCCCCCTCCCCCTCCCATAACCCAAACAAAAAGTATTTGGAAATTCCTCGTCTCACAGGAAGCTAATTTCTTCTGGGTGCTGAAACGACCTGTCTGATCAGACTTCCTTTCACTCCCGCTGGAATTATAGGTCTTCGGGCACAGGTTCTCTCTCTCTCTCTCTCTCTTCTCTCTCTCTCTCTCTCTCTCTCTCTCTCTCTCTCTCTCTCTCTCTCTCTCTCTCTCTCTCTCTCTCTCTCTCTCTCTCTCTCTCTCTCTCTCTCTCTCGCGAGAATGGCCGCTCATGAATGGTCTTTTTTGTACTACTTTTCCTTTTTCTTTGGCGTTTAGTTATTGTTGTTTTTCGACCTTTTCTCATATTTCATAATTCTATTATTTTTTAATGCAGCACTTTTTCAATGTTTTAACTTGAATTTCCTTTTCATTTGAGGAATGTGATTATTCTGTTACATTTTGAGTTGGTTAACATTGAGAAAATCATAGGCTTTGTAGGTCAGAATTTCACTCTCCCTGATTGAAACGCTCTTTCGCTTTCCTTTTCCTCTTTTCTTGTGAAATAACTAGTTTGGTGCCTATACATCCGCAGCTGGAGAGACAGATGGTAAAGCCACACCCAGACGGAGCCACCCGACCTCCCATCCTCCGTATGTGCACGATAGTTGCACAAACATCCGCCCTCCCTCTCCCACCCCCTTCCTCTTTACTCCCCCTCCTACCTGTCTTCTTCCCATCCCTACCTTTTTACTCCCCCTCCTACCTGTCTTCTTCCCACTCCTTCCTCTCTACTCCAATTCTTCGTCCTATTCTCCCCTCTCTACATCTCCCCCTTCTTTTCCTCCTCCCCCTACCCGTCCAATCAGCTAATTCGCCTGCACAACTCAAGCCACACTTGACACACCACCAACGCCCTCTGTGGCCCATTATCTCAATTAGCTTCCCTTTACAAGTGGAGCCGTAAACTAGAAGACCTTTTCTTCCTCCTTCTTATCTTCTTTTCTCTTTTGTTCTTGTTTTTTAAAGGCAGTGCGAGAGGCGTTTAAATAGGGTATTATTGTAAGTGTTATAGCGTGTGGTTGCGGTCGCTGTCGTTGGCCTACATTTACGTGGAGTGACAACAGGCTGTGCAGTAATTTGAGTGTTATAACTCCTTATTATCATTCTTTTGAGTTTGTCTTCGTTTTTTCGGAGCTTTACTGATGGGTATTAGTGCTGGAATGAGATATCTTTGGCTTTTAATTATTAATGAAATGATTTTTGAATGTGATTACTTTCCCTTGCTAATTTTCAAGTTCTTTGGTCTTAAAACTTGTTTATCCGATGTTTCTTTTCTCTTAAACAGCCACAGAAATGTATCCAGATTTCTTCCAAATTCTTGTAGATAATAAGATACTGATTTGACATTTTCACGAGGCTGATGAACGATCATTGTTATATGTATTTTTTAAACTTAATATTCCTTCCCTATGAACCGTACATTTTCAACTCCGTATTGTATGGGTTAGCACCGACGTGGGAACTTCCATATCATTCATAATGTTACTTCGAGAGACCGGAGCACTTACGACAAACGTTAAAATCCACCTTTTGTTATATTTAGGAGTAGAACACTTGTCTCTCTCTCTTTCTCTTTCAAAATGTTCATGCATTGGATAATTATCAATATGTACTATTACTTTCTCTGCTTTCAGGGAAAGTTAGCACTTATCTATGGTACTTAATTCACAGGTGTAACACACAGTCACTGGGTTAGTACGACGTTTCACAGCATGCAAATTGCAGATTAGTTTGGGGGGAGAGGGGGACGGGGTACCTAGGCCTATCTTTCCGGACGGGATGGAGAGAGTGGGTTGATAGTTATGGTTATTATCATTATTTATGGTTTGTTAATGTTTGTATTGATTTATGGATCTAAACCATTCCTTTCTTGTGAGAGAAATGTAGTTGTCTATCTTTTTTTAATAAGAGGAACGTTTTTTATGAGATATAGTGAATGTATTATGATTGCAATAGCTTCTTGGACTAATTCATTTTCTCTCTCTCTCTCTTTGTCCTTTATCCTCGTCCCAAGATCAGTCAGGAAGGCCTACGTAGTCCCCTCTCCCTCTCCCCTCGGTCGACGCAGGACGGGGTCCCTTGGCAGTGTCACACACAACATACTCGGAACAATCCTTGCGGCTCGGGCAGGGCGGCGGCGCAGGCCAGGAGGGCGACGAGGAGCACCAAGTTCCTCAT